GTTGTCCACTTCGGGTGAAGGTGCTATGAGTCGATTACGGAGCACCCTCAATCGAAGACCTTAGTCAGGTCCAACATCTGGATCAGGGTTTCTATGGACAAAAAGAGACTAGGACTGCCAAACAACTGCCAGTACTGTATTGGTGTTTGTGTTGAGGTGGAAGTGTAAAGAGTTGGAAACGTTGGTTGTTGTCCACTTTGGGTGAAGGTGCTATGAGTCGATTACGGAGCACCCTCAATCGAATGCTCATTGAGCGGGTTGGCAAAATGGCATTCTTGCAATATGGGCCCTCCTTCTAATGCCAAAATGATGTGATAGATGTAGGTGACGCTCCAATCAGCTCAACTTAGTTTAGAGCCTTGTGCACAAGAGATTCGAGATGGTTGAGGTGATTCGGATGTCCACCGAGGAGTCGACCTGCACGAGACCTAGGTTGGGTGGTGTGGCCGACTTGGTCCTTCCAATGCTCGAGTTAGTATTGAGGTGGGTAGTGGAGTCAAGGGTAAATAGTAACTCACATGGATAACAGTAAATTGATGTGCTTTATTGTAGGCTAGGCCCTGGGGATATTCTGTAGTATGGGCAGAATATTCCCCCTTGAGTCCATTATTGTAGCTATGCTTGGGTTAGTGCCATCTTGGTTGGGTCTCACACCTCTCGCTGGCCGGGCATCTTCTTAATTGTAGCTATTACTTTTAATTTGACTTTTGGTGGATTTTCTTACTTTGAGCTTGTATTTTCTTGACGATAATATGAATGGCATACTTTTGGACTGGTTAAGCTTGGTGTTGAGCTTACAATATAAGAGGGTAATATAAGTAATATAGACTGTATTAAGACAAATAATTAAAACCATTATATTTATTGATTTAGCATGAGACATTCTGTGTGCTAAAGGTGTTTAGTATCATCCTGTTAGGTTTATCCTTTTAGGTAGCAAACCCTTAAACTGATGATAGGTGTTAATTCCACTAACGATTTCCATGAAATGGGACTTCTAATCCTTCAGTTTCAAGTGTATTTTAGCAGCACCAAGATTCTTGCTTTTATGATAATTACCATGCTAAGACATGATGGATGTGATATACATTTCAGACATGACAAATATGAAATTATAGGTCACAAAGAGAAAGAAGAGAAAAGAGAAAAAACAAGAAAAGCATAAAAAGAGCCACATTTTGGATGATATGTATTGTTGTATACAATATACAAGAAAAGAATGTGCAGTACGTATATCACATATGGGACGTGGTGGTCTGACATGAAATGGTGGAACAATGAAATATGACATGTTATTGTTTAATTTATATAAAATCATGTTACTTGCATATGATTATGCTTTTGTTTTCCTTATATAGTTTCCTTTTAGTCATACATCCTACACCTATTTGGCTCTATCTATTATGAGGGATGCCTTTTTGTTGAGTACATTTGTATAAATATTATTACCTCTCCTCGTTGCAGGAACTCTTTTCACTGGATCTGATGACTCTGATGAAACCAGTGGGTGAGATGATATTTATTTAAATTATAGAATTAGAAATGTAGTTATAGTTAAACGATATAGTGTGTTTTCATATTGTTATAAAATTTTTATTGGTTATTCTTTAGTTGATATGGTATGTCTTTATTGCTTCATCATCTCTCTATGTGTGTTATGATGTGCATATGCTTTTTGATGACATGCATATTTTTTTTATTATTCATGTTATACCTTAGTCAGTGATTTAAAAAGCGCTAGGCGCCAAAAGGCGCCAAGGTCCAAAAACGCTCGAAGCGCTAGGCGCTCGCCCGAGCGAAGCGAGGCGCTAAAATATAAAAATATATAATATAATTAATAAATATAATTATTTAAAATTTTAAATAAAAATATGCTTTTAAATTAAGAAAATCTAAGATACAAAATTACAATGTCACATTAACAAAAAGTTTCAAAATTCAAAACAATAAAATTTTACATCAAAATAAAAATCAACAACATTAAAATCAAAATAATATATTATTAATCTATTAACAGTATTGAAAATTAATCATTTCAAAATTCAAATAAACTTAATATTAAGAGTATACTGTATACTGAGCCTGACGGAGAAACGAGGAAGCAACGGCGAGCTGTCACGAACGGTCGTCGCGCACCCGCAACAACTCCGTTCAACGAACCGTTCGTCGCTCACACCTGCATGTACAGCTGCTTGACAGCATGTTTTCTCTTGGTTTTGGGTCATTTTGCTTGTAAATATGTAAGTTCGAACAAGCTGCAGCGTTACAAAGCGACCGCTCACCGAACCGAGCAAAACAGCCCCAAAACAGCTCCGTTTTCGCGTGCCGCGGGAGGTGAGCGGAGAACTGCCTCCGCTCACCAAAACGTCAACCATCTCAGACCCCAGGAACCCCCCGGGTGGCACAGGGCTGGATGGGGCTTCGGTTATATACCGGGCGTTGAACTCTCTTTCGTAAGTTCGCACGTGACCTTTACGGGAACTTGTCTTCGCGCCCGGGACCAGGTGAGCGGCTGTTTGTGGGCTTGCAGCTGTTCGTTCATCCTTGAAAGCCTTGTTTTTCTCCCTCTCCCTCTTTTCTCTTGTGCACACAGGGTGTTCGTCGAATTGCTTGTAAAGCTTCCCCTTTTCGCGAGACTTCGGGACTTGTCCGTTGCTCGTTCTTTCGAACTAACCATCTTTCTCTTTTACAGGTCCTTCGGGACCTGCGAGAGGTTACAAAGTGGGCTGATCCTTGCGGAGCAATATCGCAAGGGCGAAGCGCGACTTAGGCAACGCAAGCTAAGTTCGCGTCTTTGCCACAAGAGTGACTCGCGGCTTAGGCAACGCAAGCTAAGTTCGCGTCTTTGGTCGTAAGGGTGCCTCACGCCTTAGGCAATTCCAGCGAAGGTCGTGACATTGTGGTATCAGAGCGGGCAAGCTCTTCGATCGAACAGCGAACGAACTTCGCAACTTCGCCATGGCAAAGCATCGTGGCGAATCAAGCAAGACGGGGTAAGCCGAACCCTTGCCCCAAGCAGCCGTAGGTGGGCTGTATGTGCACACTCGCTCTCATGCTGTTGGAGCCGCTCAAGAGGAGCGCGACAGCGAACAGGATGAGCGAGAAGTTGGCTACTCTCCGCGAGCGGAGGAAGCGCAATCTGGTGCGCTAACTGGGAAAAAGAGTCATAAGGAGAGACTCACGACGGCGGAAACCCGCCTGGATGTTTTGGAAGCGAGCATGGAGGAACTCTACCATGGCCAACAAAGACTTGTTGGGGTAGAGAGCTCGCAAGAGGAAGCGGAGTCCAGGATCGACAAGGTCGAGGCCCTAGTCGACCGACTGTCTGATGACACCAAAGACTCCGTACAACACTTACAGGATGTTGTGGCGGAACTCACTGCAAAGGTGGCTATGCTCACAAGAACACTAAATGCGGGAGGAGGCAACACCCGCGTTGCACCGCCACAAAACTTGAGGGCACCTGAGCCTCATGGATATGGAGGGGCCAGAGATGCCAAAGAGCTCGAGAACTTTCTGTTCGACATGGAGCAATACTTCCGAGCTACGAGGCTCGATTCTGAAGATACCAAAGTTTCTATAGCAACAATGTATCTGAATGGGGATGCCAAACTTTGGTGGCGAACTCGTTGGGAGGAGATCCAACAAGGTCGGTGTCGAGTCGACACATGAGAGGACTTGAAGCGGGAGTTGAGAACTCAGTTCCTACCGGAGAACACAGAGTTCGTCGCAAGAAGGAAGTTGAGACAACTCCGCCAAAGTACCTTCATCCGAGACTATGTGAAATAATTTTTTGCACTAATGCTGGACATACAGGACATGTCTGAGAAGGACAAGTTGTTCAGCTTCCTCAATGGTTTGAAACCATGGGTTCAACAGGAGCTAAATCGAAGGAATGTTACCGATGTGGTCGGGGCAATTGCTGCTGCAGAAAGGCTCACCGACTTTGTTTTCTCTGAAGACCCAGCGAGAAGGAAATAATCTTCAGGCAATCGCCCTCCAAAATATTCTCGAGGGAAGGAGCTCGGGGGCGAACAGAAGAAGAAGAGCTCCCACAAAGGGCCGAACCCGAAAGGCAAGGCCTCAAAACCTGGAGGATGCTTCTTGTGCGGAGGACCGCACATGGTAAGGGAGTGCCCACAAAAACAGTCACTCAATGCTTTGACGGCTTCCATCCACCCTCCCCGATCGGACAAGGGCAAAGCTGTTGCCCTTAGCTCAAGCAGTTCTGAATCCAGCAGCGACGACGAGGAGTCGCAAGGACCCCGAATGGGAGCAATTCGTCTGTTGAACGCTATGCGGGGTCAAGTGGGGGAGAACATGAAGACCAAGGTACAAAAAGCAGGAAGTAGTGAACTGATGTATGTGGACATCAAGCTGAATGGTCAAACGACCTGTGCAATGGTGGACACGGGCGCTACCCACAACTTCATAGTCGATCGTGAAGCACAACGACTTGGGTTGACCTTGGAGAAGAGCCCAAGTCGAATGAAGGCGGTGAACTCGGAGGCCAGGTGAATCTCCGGGTTGGCGAAGGGAGTCCCCATCAAAATTGGGACTTGGAGTGGAAACACCAACATGATGGCCGTGCCACTGGATGACTTCCAAGTGATTCTTGGAATGGAGTTTATGCACGCGGCGAATTTAGTGCCGATGCCGTTCTTGAACTCCCTATGTATGATGGGAGGCGATGACCCCTGCGTGGTTCCCGTCTCTCGGAGAGGAACCAAGGAGCCCCAACACATTTCGGCATTACAATTGAAGAAAGGGGTGCGAAAAGGCGAACTAACATTCGTGGCTGTAATGAAGCTAGAGCCACTCAACAAGGAGGCCATTCAGGAACCTGCTGTGGTGGCGAACGTCCTAAAAGAGTTCAAAGACGTTATGCCACCCGAGTTGCCGAAGACTCTCCCACCACGCAGAGGCGTGGATCACAGCATCGAGCTGGATCCAGGAGTGAAGCCTCCAGCGAGACCACCCTACCGCATGCCCCCGCCAGAGTTGGCAGAACTCAGGAAGCAGTTAGGTGAACTGCTAAGCGGTGGTCTCATCTGCAGCTCTAAAGCACCTTTCGGAGCTCCAGTTCTCTTCCAGAAGAAACAAGATGGGAGCCTCCGATTATGCGTCGACTATCGAGCCCTCAACAAAGTGACAGTGAAGAACAAGTATCCCATCCCGTTCATTGCGGACTTGTTTGATCAATTGGGCAAGGCAAAGTATTTCTCAAAACTCGACCTTCGGTCGGGGTATTGGCAGGTGCGCATTGCTGAAGGCGACGAAGCAAAGACTACCTGTGTGACCAGGTATGGAGCGTTTGAGTTCTTGGTGATGCCTTTCGGCTTAACCAACGCTCCGGCCACGTTCTGCACTCTCATGAACCAGCTATTCAAGGAGTATTTGGATAAGTTCGTGGTTGTCTACTTAGATGACATCGTCGTCTACAGCCAAACGCTCGAGGAGCACGTCAAGCACCTCCGGACGATTTTCAAGGTTCTCAGGGAGAACACTTTGTTCGTAAAAAGGGAGAAATGCTACTTTGCTCAAACTGAGATCCTATTCTTGGGGCATCGAATCGGTGATGGATCCATTCGGATGGATAAGTCGAAGGTGCAAGCAGTTGCGGAATGGCGAACTCCAAAGAAGGTGCCAGAGTTGAGATCCTTCCTTGGTTTCATCAACTACTATCGACGCTTCATTGCGGGATATTCGAAGCGGGCAACCCCACTGACGGAGTTGCTGAAGAAGGAGCAGCCTTGGAAGTGGTCTGACAAATGTGAGAAAGCATTCCAAGATCTGAAGGCTGCTGTTCTAGAAGAACCAGTACTCAAATTGCCAAACTACGGAGAGCCCTTTGAAGTCCATACAGATGCTTCGGACTTCGCTATTGGGGGAGTACTCATGCAGGAAGGTCATCCGGTGGCCTACGAGAGCCGCAAACTCAACGAGACCGAGAGGCGGTATCCAGTGCATGAGAAGGAGATGACAACAGTGATCCACTGTCTACGAGTTTGGCGACACTACCTCCTCGGGTCGCGATTTGTGCTGAGGACAGACAACATCGCCCTGAGCTATTTCCAAACTCAGAAGAAGCTCTCCCCAAAGCAGGCACGGTGGTAGGACTTCCTGGCTGAATTTGATATGGCAATGGAGTACAAGCCCGGGAAGGCGAATGTCGTGGCCGATGCGTTGAGTCGGAAAGTGGAATGCGTGAATGCTGCACAACTGGAGGGCAGAGGCCAAGCAAGTCAGTTACACTCCAACTTCCTTTCCCGAATCAGGGATGGACTGTATAGTGATCCCCAGGCAGTTATCCTGATGCAGCTCATCAAAGAAGGCAAGGCACGACGATTTTGGGTCTAGGAGGGACTTGTTTACACAAAAGGAAATAGGGTTTATGTTCCCCGAGTGGACAATTTAAGGCGTGAACTCTTAAAAAAGTGTCACGATTCCCTTTGGGCTGGACACCCAGGCATTCACAGAACGTTGGCTCTCGTGGAGAGGGCATTCTACTGGTCGAAGATGGGGATTGATGTGGAGGAATATGTTCGAACATGCCTT